CATCGCAGAGGATTTTTTTTTGAGCTATTGTCAAATCGGTCTAGCTCACGTAAATTTTATTAATTTCCGAAATATTTTGGGGGAAGTTTAAAACAATTTTTTTTGAAGTTGTTGTTTGATTTTTTCATGGTGAATGAAGTTGAACATTTGAAAGCCTAGCTGTAGCTAAACCTGCACAGGTGTTTTATGTTATATTTTATTGTATTTTCGTTTCCACCAATAAAAGTCGCCTTTTAATTGCCACTCCCTCTTTTCGTGTACGATTCTAAAATAGAGGTAAACCGGCTAGAAAATTCTTTGTGCGTTTCTTAAAATGTCACACTTTTGTAAGGAAAAATAGGCACATTCTCTGCCCTTTAAGCCGTTGTGAGGGAAGATGGTTGCCCTGAAAATCAAATAGTTGTTAAAAATGACAATATTATGAAATGCGTGAGCTAAATAGGGATAAGTAGGCAAAAACATGCACTTTTTCAGGACTGAGTGTAACATGAAACATTTTTTTTTTGCACCGTGGAAGGGCAACATTTCTTGTAAGAAACGAAATCCCCATTAGCTTTTAGCAGACTCGGCTTGGAATGACGTCAGAGGCACCTTTTTTTAATTTTTTTTTTGGTTTTGGATTTTCTTAATTACGAACAGGCAACTGTGAAGTGAAGGACAAAATCGAACGATGAAGAAAATTAATTCAAGTTGAACATTTGAAGACTTATTTACAGAATGGCTGTAGCTGAGTGTGAATAGACGCTTTATTTTATTTGCTAACTTTCACAGAAGGTCCGGGTTTAAATCCCGTCAGAGGCAACATGTTAAGATGAAAAATTTTTTTTTTGTGTCTCCGAACTATGAAAAAGCATCTGCGAAGTGCAGAACATAAAATTAAAACGAAAAATTCGGAAAAAGATCACCAAAACATCGTTGAAAATATCAACAATGGCATTGTTAATATTAAACAAAAATCACTCTGATTCCTTTTCAAATTTGAATTTGGGATTATTTTAGGTTGATTTTGTTCTCGGTGTACAAATTTATTAAAGATTTATATATTAATTATTCCTATAAAAGAAATACTTAAAAACTTTTTATTTAATTTTAATACTTAACCATCGTGATCCGTTCCGGTACTTGTAATATGCATCTATACCCACTCGGTTACAACAGCATTGCGCAAAAAGCATATTTTTTAAACTTTTTTATTTTCAATTGAAATTGCTTTCCACTATCCACCTCAGTGGATATCAATCTCGAAAATGCACCTTGTTCTGTGAAAAGTACATATATGCCACGTGACGCTTTAAACATTTATAAATAGAATTTATAAGTATAATTTTTTTCATTCAAAAAAATCCTAGGGAGTGAGAGATTAATAAAGAAAACAATTTTGGACAACCTTACTGCACAGTCATTAATTGTTACATTGCTAGGCACCGCGGCATAGTTGAACCGTGGGAAATGAAGCGGCTGATATTCCCGAAAGAAAAAAGTCTGCACAGGGATTCATAGGCTAGAGACCCCCCTTAGGATGAGCAACATTGCTTGATAGGAACGGAAAAGTAGAGCAGACAACATCAACAAGGAGAATCCAAGCACAACTTCACCTTCACTAGGCACGAAGTAAAAAGTGTTTCAGGCTTTCTTACTTACCTCTTCTGGGTAATGGTAATGAAGCACTTGTGCAGCTTATGTCGAGAGAAAAAGTAAACAGCAGAGTAGATTGTGTACCAGTGCGGAGACCTTTGATTCGCTACCTAGGATCATTATACGCAGAAGCACATGACCCAAATAGCATGCAGCAAAGTGACCCCGCGAAGTTCCTTACAGATAAGTGGATCTAAGTAGATCTTTACCCAAATAGACGTTCATTACAAATGATCGTCGCTGGTTGTAGTTGCTACTTGACCTTTTCCCCCCTCTAAATATTCAACTTATCTAACCAATCTAGAAGTTAAGCCAAGAAAACTGCTTGAGAATATGTTGCTAATATAAATTTTAATTCCCATGAATTTCTCTACCAAAAACCAATGGATCGATTTCGAACGTTTTAAAATGTTTAGGGACTACTTGCAGCCTACGAGCCTAAGAACGGCTTATACATACATATATGCAAAAAATTTGCACTTGCGAAATCTAACTTCCTTTTACTCCTTGTCAATAATCCCTCCACGTTCTTATTTGCATACGTACATACATATGTACATATTCAATTATTTGTTTCAAATTATTGCAAGCTGTCGAAATTGCCAAAACTCAAGCTTCTAAAAATACCACACACACACAAAAGTTCATTGAACTAAAATGCCCAGACCACAAAGGTGCGATTGCGAATGCGCCAGTAGGATAAGACAAATAGCCTCCACACATACACAACGTGCGGGTCTATGTCGATGGAACTGCGAGTCGAATTGAAACAAAATAAAATTGCACGAAAAAAGGATCAACGTGACCAACGAATGAGAAAGTCTCACAGGACTACAACAAATGGCTTGATGGCTGGCTGGCGGGCTGGTTGAATTTGTTGTGTCTGGCCGCAGCGGGCGCACAACTAACTAAAGCCTCACGTAAAATACAGCAGCGGACACTCAGTCTTACAAACGAACGCATTACGCACGAAAGGCTGTTAGGATAAAGAGCCGAAAGGTTCTTGACATGACCAACACGCACGCACGCACACCGATAGAGAACACGTTCTTGTCAGTGAACCGACAGACAGTTGGTTAGGCGGCAGTGTAGGCGGTCGAGAGGCTTTCCAGACAGAAAACTACATAATGCATATACATGCATAAAGCTTTTAAGTAAATGCATACATACATATGTAACTACATATGAAAGTATATAGAAAGAAATATTAGTACGAGTGGATACATATGTGATATTTGGTTGCTTATGTAACTATATAAGGGCAATACTTTCATATCCAATATGCTCATGGATATGCGTTCAATTAATGGCCGATAGGATAATGAACCATCGAATTGCACTTACTATTGTAGACACAAGAGAAAATAGTCTAGATCTAGATAAATAAATGCCAATTGAAATATGTACAAGCGTACGTGCACCGTTATTTATTTTTGACCCCTCGGTTATCCGATGATTTATTTAAATAAAAAAAATTGCTTTAATGTTCAATTGATATAAGTGTAATCCAGTAGCACTTTAATTTTTTAGGATGCCGGGTGTACTAGGAAATTTTTGCAAAGAAAATATATTCTCTGATTAAATTAATGACCACATACTGGTATTTTAAGGACGTCTGAATTCGTTTTTTTCTGTACGGAAGAAGGGACAGATTTTTACCTCAACAATTTCAGACAGACGAGAAAATTGCGGTTTGACTTCGGTTTGATACGCACACATAGAAACTTACCTACTTACAAATATTTTATTATTACCAGACGAATAGTAACGACGGGAGTTTTGCGATAGGCATACTTGAACGGAAATTTCAGAAAAGTCTGCGAATGGGCACATACCCAATCATATTCCAGGCGGAAGTTTTCGCAACGGACGTCTGTGTTGTCGAATATCTTCGAAGAAGGACCAACCCACCAAAAATGGGTTATTGATATGGTCCTAAAGGTGATATATAACTAGTAATTTTTAGCAAAAAAAAAACCGACTTCAACTCTCATATAAAAAAAAAAATATATATATATATCTCATGATCCGCTGATCGGATCTTAACCAGATTAGTATGGGACCACCTCTGAGACACTACCTTTCCGATGCAAAAAGAATTATCGAAATCGGTTGACGTGGTCCAAAGTTAT